GTGTGTGACGTGGCACACCCCCCCCCCCCCCCCCCCCAACACTGTAGCCGGGTGGGGGGGTGGAAATCACTGCACACCCACTCCTGGCCAGCCAGACGCAGCCAGGCTCCTTCCTCCTGCAAGTGCTGTTCCCAGCCCTGACACCAAGCTGCCCTGTGCCCTTGGGTGATTCACATCATCCTTGTGCTCGCCGGTCCTCCCCTCCCAGGTGCCCACACAGCCCAGGCTGCTGCCCGGGCCGGGGTGGGGGGGGGCAGTGCTGTTGCACACAACAGAGGTGCTACACTTTAACCTGGGGAACACCCTGGGGAATCCAGAGGTTTGAGGGGAGGGTGAGCACCAGGGGACCAAGGCAGAGCAGCACTCTGGGGGGATGCCGTGGCTGCAGGGTGAACAATGCAGCTTGGGGCTGTGCCATGGCCCAGAACATGGGGGAAGTGGTCCCAGTGTACAGACCTCAGTACCTGTGGGTGTCTGTCCCTGCCGCACTGCACCTGGGCTCAGGAGCTGCAGCCCCAAGAGCGCAGCAATTTGGGGGCCGAGTGGGGAGGGGACGGGAGAGCAGGTTGTCAAAGTGGGCCAGGGCCAGGTCACAGCCTGGGTGGACAGGCTGACCGGAAGGTCGGAGCTGGCTGAGGGCGGGCGGCAGAGGGACAGGCTTGCACATGTGAAGGGATGCACCCAAGGACAGAAGCGAGGGGTTGCAACTCAGAGCACATTCAGGCTGAACCCCCAGATGCTACAGTGTCGAGCTCACAGCCACAGGCAGAGGCTGACGCTGCCAGATTGGGCTAGGCCAGGCATGGCCCACGGATACGCACGGCTGGCAGGAGGCCGGCGGCTGGGCGGATTTACAAGACAAATGTGCCCTGACAGGATCAGGGCAGCACAGGGCACGGGACGGCCTGGGTACCCTGTCCCTGTCCCTAGTGACCTGGGGCAGCAACCGGCAGAGCTGCTGTGGTGCTGTGCTGAAAGCTAAGCTCTTGCACCTGACTGCAGCAGCTGCCCTTCCTGCCTGTGCCCCAGCTCCGAGTCCAGATTTACATTGCCACAACCCATCAGTGGTCATCAGAGGCCACGGATCCCCCCTGGGCCAGGCTTGCAGTTGTAATAATGGTCCTCTGCACCCCACGCCACAGGCAGAACAATAACGTGTCCAGTGCTGAGCCACAGAGCTCCAGCCTCACCCTGACAGCACAGTCATCACTTGCACCAGTTCAGACATCCCATGCCCCAGAAGCTACCACACAGACAAATGCCCCCAACTCATACTGAGCACTGATGCCTCTTGGTCACACGCCCCAGGAAAATCCCACATGAACACTCCTGGGACAGCATGCCCCAACCACACGCCTGGATGCACCACTGCCCTCCCCCTATCACGGGTCACAGGGCCCCTGGCCATGTTCCCACCACGCACCCTTCTCTGCCTGCGGTGGCTGAAGGGTTTCACTCTCACAGCATCTCAGTCAGATGCCCACTTGCAGCATCTCAGTCAGACCTCACCAGGCCAGAGATGCCCACTCCCCACAGTGCTCATAGCCCGAGGTAAAGTGCAAATGCTGCTGCCTCCAGGACAAGCAGAGCATGGTGCTAGTTTGCCCAGTGCCCACCTCCCCCCCACCCCGACCCTGCAGGCATGTCCCACTCAGCCACGTGAGACGGGGCCCCAAGGTCAAATGAGGTTAGCTGTGTGGGAAGGGATGGCCGGGGCCAGGGTCAGATGAGGTTGGCCATGCTGGAGGTGGCAGGTAGGCGCCGGTTAGTGACAAGCTGCCCCGAGATGGTGAAGACGCTGATGTCTCTGGAGTCCAGCTCACGGGGCACGGGGGGGCAGCAGGACATCCAGAGGAGGTAGAGCAGCAGGCAAAACAGGATGGCTGCCCCCGTGGCCACTAGCACAACGCCGCTAGTGAACATGCTGGCCAGGGGCCGGGCAGGGCTGAGCTGCATGGTGGTGGTGGAGAGGATGGTGAGCACCACGCCGCACACCAGCAGCACCAGGGCACTGAGCAGCAGCATGATGCAGTCTGAGAAGCCACCGCTCTTGAGCAGCTCGATCTGGTCGCGGCTGCGGATGCAGTTCATGTCCTGGATGGCAGAGCTCAGCAGCTGCTTCAGTAGCACCAGCAGAGCCAGGAGGCAGAGTGTGGTGCCCACCGCCAGCCGCCACTCCCCAGACCGGCTGCTGGTGCTGTAGAGTAGCACGATGCCCCCGGCACCACAGGCCAGGATCAACACCACAGCTACACCATAGCACAGGATCGACCGCTTTGGGTCCTGGAACCACCACAGCTCCACGTGCTCCTCCAGGAGATTCCTCTGGATGTGGCCAGCATCCACGGGGGCCCTGGGGGCACTGAGCTGCTCCAGCTCTGGCATGGCGAGCTCTGGGAGCAGAATGCGTGGCAGGGATCACGGACACAGTGGTGGCAGTGGTGAGGGCTGCAGCATGTCCTCAGGTGCAGGTGGCTCTCAGTCTCTTGCTGTGGTGCCCCGGGATCTGGAACGTCAGAGCCACAGTACCAGGGACAGCCCTGGGAGCTGCTGTCTGCCTGCCAGGAATCCTGGCTGGATCGTGGAGCCTAGCCCCGTCCCCAGGACAGCAGCCTGAGGCTCCTCCAGACAGCTGGTGGAGGGGAGGGGGGCTGTGTCTCAGGCCCTGCCCTGCTGGGTTAAATCACCTGGAAAGAGCCAGAAAAGAAGCAGATGTCAGAAGGTTCCACACCCCACTTGCCCCTCACGCAGAGTCCTTCTCCCGGGGGCAGGATTAGGCTCCTCTTGTGGAGACCTGCTGCCTGTAGCCTTGGTCAGGTGCCCAGGGACTCCACTTACTAGGTGATGCCTGGATGCCCCCTTGCCGCCTCTCTGTGCTGCTCGAGTGTCCTGCTGGGCCGGGGCTGGGGCCATCCCGTCCCGAGGCTGCTCGCCCGGGTGCACCTTCCTATCCCTGGCGGGGCCTGGCTGCCTGCAGCTGGGCTGGCAGCCGGAGCAGTGATGGAGCAGGGCAGGGCTGTGCCCTGATAAAGCCTCATTCAGGCTCCAGCTTCACATGCTCCCTCATCAGCATCAGCCTCTTGTCACCAACTGGCTCTGCTGAGACAGACAATGGGGGCTGGGACCTGCACTTAACCCCCGCGGCACAAGGCAGAGCAACGCTGGGCAGCAGCTGCTGACCTCATCCCCCTGTGCTGCCCCCAGCCTGGGGGCACTGTCCCAAGCCCCTGGCCCAGCCACAATGATGCCTGCAACAGGAGCAAAGCCACTTGCTCCCGTGGACTTGTGCCAAGTGTCCTGGCCACTCTACAGCTCTCCCGCCAGCCCTGACTTCTCCCAGCAGACATAGGTCAGGCTCAGTGGCCCGTTTGCTCCACACCTCAGGGCATGCCTTCCCATCTGAGCTGCTCAACATCTGAATGCAGTAACATGGCTGGCGGATGGTAGCCAAGCACTGCACCTCCACGTCATGTCTGCACAGTGCTGCTCCTGCTCTGGCCAACAGCCCTGGGCCTGCCCTGCCCCCTGTCCGCCTTGGCCCTAAAGACCCACAGCTAATAGCAGAAGCCACTGCATCTCCTGGGTAAGGGTCTTCCAGTGCAGAAAAGCCCCAGTGCATGGAGCAGGTTTCTGTCCTGGGGTCCAGGGAGGCGGGGGCATGCAGAGGGCAGGCTGCCCAGTCAGGGCTGCACAAGGGTGTGGACAATCCCTCCGGACCATGTTCAGGTTGCACTGATGCAGATGAGGGCAGCACTGGGACAGCAGTGGGACAGGACTGCCTGGTGGCCCTGGGAAAAGAACCTCTCACAGATGCAAGCAAGCAGGATGAATGCATCCAGGCAGGGAAGAGGGAGCCTGGCCAGTATGATTCAGAACCTGCCCAGGTCACACAGGGAGCCAATGACAGAGGTAAAACTGGGTCTGACCTGGGTTTGTGAGCAGGGGCCACAACCACGTGGCTGATCGCAGTGCCACCTGCAGGGCCTTCTCCCCACAGCCTGCCAATGCCCCACAGTCCTGGGACCCTGTGCTCTGCTTCCCCCATCACTGTATGCCCATGTGGAAACAACCCATGCAATAGGTGTGTGGTCCTGTCAGCAGGCACCTCCTGCTACATACAGCGCCCGGTGTTATGGGGCTACAAAGGCTCCCCCCCATTCTCAGAACAATGGGAGACTCCTCACCTCCCCCATTCTCCCACCAAGCTTCCTGTGTCCCTCCCAACCCTCTCCCCTCATCCCCCCACCCCGGCAGGCCAGCATAGAGGCTGGAC